GTGGTGTCAAATAAAAGTTTTAAAAACTTTTCAAGATAAATCTAGGGCTCAGGAACTCAAGACAAATGGCTAATTACAAAATGCGGTGTCTACATACTTTAGAATCTAAAGGTTTTAAAATAAGAAAAAGTTTATATAGAGCTGAGGCTCTAAACAATCAAATCAGAGCCCACCTAAAAAATTCCATTAGAAGAGGTTGTTTTGATTCCCAAATATCCTCATATTGATCATCTTGACCTCAAAATACATGGACGTGAGAAAAAAAAATAGATTTCAAGTTTTGAAAATGGTGCATCTTGTAACGCATTTTTGAACAATCAATTTTTAGGATTTTCAAGTTTTTATTTATCTGCTAGTTCTACATTATTATTGAAGCTTTAAATTTTATAATTAAACATAAAAATATATTTTAAGGCTATCACAAAGATGTCAGGTATTGAAACTACATTTCTCTACACTATTTGAAGGTACGCTTTACTTTGATTGTTTAGAGCCTTGGCCCTATACAAACCACACCCTTAAAAATAGGCCCGACTATGGCAGAATATATAAAATGCAAATTTAATAATATAGGAGTGGAAATAATAATTAGTTAATAAATGGCCAAGAGATACCCAAACGAGATTACTTTCAATATATTGGATCAACAATCAATGAGAATGGAGAGATTGAGGAAGATGTTCCTCATAGATATAATGTTGGATAGATGAATTGGAGAAGTGTTTCTAGAGCCATATGTGATCATCGCATACAATTGAAACTGAAGAGGAAGTTCTATATGACAATTGAAGGCTAGTTATACTTTATGGGATGTAATATTGGGCGGTCAAGAAACAACATATTCATAGAATAATTATAGCTTAAATGAGGAAGTTCTGGCGGACAAGTGATAAGACAAGAAAAGATAGAATTCAGAATGAATACATTTAAAGGAACTTGGGAGTAGCTACAAGAGGTGATAAGATGGTGAGCAAAAGACTTGTATGGTTTGGTCATATTCAGAGCCAACCTAGAACAATATCAGCTAGGAGGGGTGATTTAATTATAGTAAAACACTCTAAAACGACAATCTGAAGGCCCAAAAGGACATAGATCGAAGTAGTGAGAAGAGATATAGTGACTTGTCGTTTGACTGATAATATGACCCTTAATATAGTGGAATGGCAAAACATGATTTGTGTAGCCAACCCCAAATAGTTGGGACAAGACCCGAATGATGATGAGAATAATGATTTGCAGATTTAGCTTAATTTCAAGGCTTTTACAATTCATAAAAGCTCCTCGAAATATGAT